CATAGTGGAGAATAAGGTGAAAGATCCTTACCAAGATCGGTATTTCAAGATATCGAGCTGTCTACTATGCCTCTTAACGGGTACCGGGTTTCCTGAATTTTTTTGTAGAATTTAAAACATTCGTCACATATATAAAAATACCCCAAAAATTTAAAATTAATGTCCAAAACTAATTTCGGTCAATTTTGGAATTCCGACACGGTAGCACCGCCATGCTCCGGCGCCAGCTTAGCCACCCACGGTGGCGGTTCACCTCAGTCTGGCTGGTTTTCACCAATTTTCTCCAATTTTAGCCATTTTTCCTGTAGTAAAACACATTAGGGGTCTCGATTGGTCGGGAAATCACAAAAAAAATCGAACTTACCGGTAGGGGTACCTCCGGGTGTGGCAGCTCTGCTAGTCCTCCTTCGAGACTAAGGTTCTTTCTTTGGCTATCCTTCATAGAAAAGGATGGTGAACACAATGATCGAAAAATCATGTAAAATAAGAATTGGGAAGGGAATCATCGGAGGAGTTTTGAAATTTTAGCCGCGGCGACTCCATTGAGCTTTACCCGTAGTTTTCGGCTCACTTGTCTTTCCTCTTAATCTGATTTGGTCACAGGGATACTTGGAATTGAATTTCGAGCGGGTAGGTAGAATTTTAACTTTTTTTTTGCAATCGGTAGTAGCTTTGGTGCGGCGACGATCGATCATCGGTCTCCTTCTCCAGCGTCTAGTTCTTTTTCTCCGGCAGGGGTTGGCTGCTAGGGTTTAGGTTCCCGTGTGATGCAAAGTATTTATAACCATCTCGCGTTGATTTGGACTGTCCATTGCGATCAGTCTCATCCGTTCGATGGCGCCTAATGAAGAAATGAATCTAGACCGTTCATCGCAATTAATCTCAACCGTCCGATCACGTCTAAGGAGGAAACGGATCTAGGCCGTCCACGTGCACGGGATCAATCCTGAATCGTTCGATCGCGAGTCACGTGGATCGCCTTCGTGGCCTCTTACATGGCACCGACATTAGTGCGTTTTGCCACGCGGAGTGCTCTGGTTCGTCGAGTCTGCTGACTGAGCGGTCCTACGTGGCCGAACTTTCTTTATTTGCACATTGACCTTCTGTTTCTAATTTTTCTTTCAAAAACATCTATAGAACCCAAATTTTCACCCATTTTTTCTAAAATTATGTTCAATCTCGTCCCTAATTCATTTTTCTCAAAATTTCACTTCAATAAAAATAAAATTAATT